TTTATCATAAATTTTATTTCATCATATTAAATGATTGATTAATACCACAGAGCATTAATTTATTTTCAGACAAAGTACCCCCGGTACCCCTGACCCAGGGCCCTGAAATTAACCATTTTTGAAAGAGGCACCTTTCTTCATCATAAATATGTAATTAGATCATTGGCATATTAAGCAGGAGCAAAGGAAAAGATTTTCAAAGAATACATACATTTTCACTATATCAACATTAGAACCCCGTCCTAACACCGGAACCCTGACCCAGGGGCCCTGAAATTCACAAATTGGAAAGAAGCATCCTTCCTCATCATAACTATGTACATAGTTTATTGATTTAATACCCAGGAGCAGAGGATAAGATTTTTAAAGAATTCATACATTTCCACTATATATCAATAGAGCCTGTTGCCCGCCTGGCGCAGTGGTAATGGCGTCTGCTCTAGAGTCGCGAAGTAAGGAGTTGATCCTTACGTCGCGGGTTCGAATCCCACTGTGGGACGTGGAGACCTATAAACCGAGGACCCGTGTCGCAGTAGGTGCTGGTTCGAAAAAGATCCCTCTTTGCTGAATGGCCCCGAATGCCGAGAAGAGGAAAAAATTTGTAGCTCTCCACCGGCAAGTGGTGACGTCTCCATATAAGAGGAAAACCCTCGAGAGGGACGTTAAACTATATACAATCAATCAATCGAGCCCCGTACTAACACCAGTACCCCTGATCCAGGGGCCATGAAATTCACAATTGTGGAAGAGGCAGTCTTGCACATCATAACTTTGTACTTGGTTAGTTAATTTAAAACCAAGGAGCACAGATTTTCAATAACCCTGTATACAGTATATATTTTGATTTTGAATCATTTATTTTTATAATGAAGATATTTTAGTAGATATGTTATGATACCTGTAATGAAGTGTGTGTTTATGAGATGATGTTTAATTAACACATGTTCTTATTTGTTGCATTATGCATTTTCACTATATAATCTATTTAGCCCCGCCCTAACACTAGAACCCCTAACCCTGGGGCCATGAATTTCACAATTTTGGTAGCGACTCAATGTTGATTACAATCATGCCAACAGTTTGACTGCTTGATGTCCATGAGTAAAGAAGATTTTTAAAGATTGCATCAATTTTAGTGGTTTTGGCCCCACCCCTCAGGCCCCATGGGACAGGGACCATGAAATTCACAATTATTGTTCCCCTTCACCCATAGATGCTTTGTGCCAAATTTTGTAGAAATTGGTTGAGCGGTTGCAGAGAAGAAGCTGAAAATGTTCAAATGTTAACACACGATGACGAAAACGGATAGTAATTGGTCACCTGGCCTAAAAAATCCAATATTATAGGGTTATTGAACTTATATTGGTCAATATTGGCACGAGGTGGCTGCCAATATTCACCAATATAAGTTCAATAACCCCTTTATTATATGGCTTAAACATTTTCTTAAATCGAAAAAATCATATTTAATCAGATTTGTCTAATTCTGGTTTTTACAGTACAAGTTTTCTAAATCAGCATCTGTGTTAACAAGTGTTCAATATTTAGTCATTCTGGTCTTCCTGTCTTGCATTGATTTTCTAATTGAGCCATTTTTAAAAAATTCTCAGGCTTTGCTCAAATTGTCAATAAATTCAGTTTTGTTTGTGAAAAGAAAATTTTTCCCAAGCTGCCAGTACCCAGAATAAAACAACAAAAACTACATAATAGTTGTTAAATTTTGTCAAATAACAACTTGCAAGATAACAAGAAATCCAACATATTCAACAAATGTAACATGAAATCAATGATAAATATCACAGATATCAACTATTAAACGAACATTTGAACCTGAGCATTTTAATCATGTAAAATTTGAGATATCACATATCAATGCAACAAAGAAATTATCACGTATTAATGTTCACAGAAGTAACCAGTTATATGACTCCAGCGTGTTCATTTTTGGATTCCATGAGCCATATGTCACAATTGATGTTGAAGGTGCAATTATTGAGACATAGTCCCACTTCCAAACAAATTTGATAGTGTCCCTTTTCCAAGATTAATGAGCAGTAGATGGAGAGCATTGGGGATAATTTGTCCATAACATCTGTGATTGGATTTTTCATCTGAACAATTTCGGCTCCTGGGTGGGTACCTTCAAAACAGACTTGACTGCATTCCTTGTTGTTAGCGATATCAAAGGCATTATCTGTAGATCATCATCAGACAGACCATCATCATATGACTCCAGCGTGTGAGAATTTTTGTGGCCAGTTAAATTTGCTGTATATCTTGTCCCGCGCAAGTCCTGCTTTGTGAAATAAGGAGTAAATCCTTAACACGGGGTTCGAACGCTGTGATTAGTTTTGTGTTCTATACCGCATTCCTTGGCAGCCATTGACATCATTTTCAAATAACTTTCTCCCACCTAAATCAAATAGCTGATAAACATGTAAGATGCCGAAAGGACTTAAATATTGCTCTGCTTTCTCTCGAGCTACATGGTGGCTGTTCCATAGACTCAAAAATTCTCTGTTGTGGTAGCAAGGTCTTTAAAGGTTTTACTATACGCATATTTTCTTTACCTGTTCCATATCTAGTTTTGTAAGCCTTTCACTGAATTCAAGATATTCTCTATCAGACACCGGGTCAGCATGAAGCTCAATATCACCAAACCATAATTGTCAGTGTCCGTGTCTACCACATAGTCCAAAACATTTGGAAAAAAAAATACCATTGGGAAAATTGTTGCACTCTGGGAGACATGTCCCCTAACTGTTCGTTTCTCCAACTTCATATTTTCTTCTTTTTCTGGTACAGCGCGTGAATCATTAGGTTTTTGTCCTTTACCCGCTTTTCTCAAGGCGCTTTTTTGGCATCTAATGTTCTATTTGACAGGGAAAATCCCCTGTTCCTGACACTGTAGTCCCTGTCATGGTCTTTGACATACCTATCTATACTGCACTTCACCTTTTTTAATGAACCCGGCTCGTATTCATTCCCATCTTTCTTACGAATGTCAATGTAAAACTTGCACATTAAAACGTGGGATGTCTTAAATTAGACAAAATTCTCTGTTCTCTAACCAGTTAATAAACTTAAAGGTCATTGAAAAAAATAAAACTGGAAAGAGAACAAACACGGATCTATAAAATATTCAAAAATAGAGTCAGATACCATTGAGGTGTTAGCATCCTCTTTACTCCACTTACACTGGTCTGGGTGCTTTTTTGCATAATTGGTACCATCGGACAAATCCGTCGACAATTTCAGTTTGAAAATAATTGCATAACAATTTGATAGAAACACTTAGTCAACATTCGACTAAATAATATTTTGTGTGTTGAGCAAATCATTGTATCATGTTTTGTGATATACATGTTCGAGTCGTAAAATACATGTTATCAATAAAAGGTTCCATAATTGATTTTATGTAATACATGTAATGCATATTAAAAACAAGAATTACAAACATGAAGATCGTCGAGTCCTGAATTAAAAAGAAAAAATAGAATGGGCCGGAGTCCCAGTTAGAAACGGATTCTCTAAAAGAAAAAAATAAAACTCACTTACTAATATTAATATAACTAGGCATTTCTTTCAGTGTTCAGATATGTGAATTCCCGCTTAGTACATATTTAACTAATATTGACAGAGTTTTAAATTTGGGATTTCATATTTGTGGAATAGGTGATATCACTCACTCGAAAAGATGATATCACTTATTCAAAATCTGAATAGGTGATATCACGAATTGAAAAGGCTACATATATATCGTCCATTCTAATATGTGATATCACTTTTTGGCAGTTAATACCAAATCAACGCCTCATACTATGACTGCTTACACATTTGCTTTTTACATTCTAAAGCATTAACTGTTTAATATCTTCATCAATTTTTGAAAATAGTTACATGCCCCCTGGAAATCGAAAGCAAAGCAAATACCGATACAAATACATAAAATCATAATTTCATAGAAATACAAGCATTTAATTTGATATATTTTTACTGCAAATACTTTGCAGAAGAAAATTCAAATGCGCATTTTCTTTTGAATTAATATACATTTTAGTTTTTTTTTCAAATTTTGGTGTATACGTAAATGGAAAACCGAAAAGAGTACTACTATTTTAGTCACACTGTCATTATAAGTGGGTTCATGTATACGCAGATCTAGAGGCTGGGTCTATCTTTAATCTAAATCACTCGCACTTAGGGGTACTTGAGGGTACTTCAGGATTTGTTATGCCTTCAAATTATATGAATGATGATTTGTTTTTCAATTTAAAACCTCTCAAAATAAAACTCATGTCTATTGCGTATTTTTCTTACTTTTTTGCCACTTACAATGCATTAATGAAAATACATCCAAGCAGTACTTTTTAAATACTTTGATTAAATAAAATAAACGTAATTTTTTTATAAGTCACTACCTAATAAAAACGGTTAATTCAAAAATGATGTATTTAATATCTGTCTCGACAATCAAGGATCTGACAACACCTAACAGAACATAAACTTAAATTATTTTTAATGAGATGCATGGAGATAACGAACAGAATTGAAGGTGTTAAGTTCATTCAACAAAAAAAAGAACAGAAGCAGAGCAAATACGGATCTTCAGAACATTGACCATAGAATTAAGTGTAATGGAGAGTGAGATTCTCCAGACCTGTCGACCGGTCACACCTACTGTGTGCTTCTTTTCATGAGCGATAAATACAATTTACGAAAGTGAAAATGATTTGGAACTTAATACACCCAAAATCAGCAAATGAATGACATTTTATCTAGATAAAAACAGGGAATGGTAAAAAAAAAATAAATATGATGCGTGTGCATTATTGTAGGGAAAAACTTGATATTGTTTTTCAACTATGAATTCTGAGTTGCACAGTTATTGTAATACCCATTAAACGCTTTTTGCATTTACATGTGTAATTTTTCTCAAGAAAGAAAAATAAAAAAAGATAGTGACAAGAATATTTATTAAAATTATTTTACAAGTACGAATTCTGATTTGCACAGTATTTTTATCATCCGTTTAAGGTTAGTTCCTTTACATGCATGTCTGTCATACAGATTTAGAACACAGAAGAAACGCTTCAATTGCCCAGGTATATTTGTACTTTATATATAAACTTTTTTGCAAACATATGATAAGTTAAAGTAACAGGGAGCATCGTACCACTTCCCTGTTGAGCGTAATATTGCAATACAGTTTTCATCGCCCCACCCATCGTTCGGTTCACCAGGCGCCCACGTAGAGACCAACCGAACAGTAGAGTTATTTCCCGTCCAAATATAAGTGCCATTTGTGTCATGATCGTACCCACCACTCCAAACAAAACAGTTCACAGCTACTCCGCACTCTTCTGAATCTAATGTCAGTGAAAAGAAGAAAATTGTTGAAAGGAAAAGAAAATATTCATCGATCGGAATATTTATCTATAATTAAGCTGCACTTTTCGACGACAATTCAGTGTGTAATGGCATAACAATGAGGAAAGACGTCAATCACCATATGACTCAAGGATTAATTGTATATGATAAACAGGTCATGTGTCGGTCAGAGAAGTTGAGGCAATGATGACCTAAGAGACTGTTGATTTTCTTGTTTCATCAACTTGTTTGTTAATAATATACTTTGTTTTAAAAAAGGTTTTCACGTTTTGCAAGCTCTTGTATATCGAATTAACGGAGAGAATTCAAATTGCAACCTTTTCAATATCAATTGTCGCTTGTGCCTTGTAGTGATTTAATTGTTTTGCTATGAAAGTAGAAAATAACGAAAAGTGATAAATTATCTAAAATAAGATAAACAATACATTTTAAGTAAAGATGATAAAAACAAGGACCACTGAAAATTCCAGAAATGGAAGAGTAAGCACCCCAATACTCTAAAGACGATGAATAAGAGATAAGGAATTGACACTTATTTACGTTGTTGGTTTAATCGGCATGCGGAGATCGGTACTTCGGTTAACATCGTATTAATTGAAATCATTTGCTGCAGTAATCGCAGGTGCTCTCACAAAAAATTCTTCATTGCTTGAAAGCCGTTAGTGCCGAGTAATAGGTCTAAATATACAGCGTTCTAGAGACAAGTGAGGTATCAGACCATTGCTCAAGTATAACAAAGATACAAACCAAAAAGTTTTTCAAAAATCCATGTATTTTCTTCTAAGGAATTTACATCCGTAAGATAAGCATTGTGTCTTTCACACTGAATCTAAAAAGAATAGTTAGTTAATAATTAGTATTCTAATCATAAAACTGCAGATGTATTCAATATTACCCATTACAATAGTAATATTTGATTTTTCTTTGTAAGTTTATTTAAGTTCTATTATAACCCACCTCAGCATCAGACCATGACACTTTTGTTTGATTGAAGTAATTATAACAATATCCTGAATAAAACGTCCATCCAGGATCACAGTCTGAAATAAATATTACTTAATCTTTTAAATTGTCTGTTTTCAAAGCATTAAATAGTACTGCCCTACGTTGAAAGGATGGTTATTTATTTATTTTTATTTATTTATTATTATTATTTTTTTTGCCTTTTTAAAGGAGAAAATGATTTTCAAATGTTTCATTTACATCAACAATTTCATAAAAGCAGAAAAAAATATTTTAAAAATGCTTGAATCTTCTTCAAAATTGCCTAGTCGCTACAAAGTCGCAAAGATGATTTCTACGTTGCGGATTCCAACTTAACTGTAAACGTCGAGACCGGCCCGTCGGATGAGACCGTATAAACCGAGGTCCCTTGTTGCTGGCATGAAAAAGATCCTTCAATTGCCCCGAGTTTCAAGACAAAATTTGTAGATCTACACCTGCAAGTGATGGCGTCTCCAGATGAGTGAAAAATTCTCGGGAGGGACGTTACACAACATACAATCAATCAATCAATCAATCAAAACTGCGTATAAATAAAGCTTCATTTTATATGCATATACGAGTATTGAAAGCATTTTTAGTCTACACTAACAAATACCAACCCACGATTCTCCAGTACCTCCATCCGTCCTGTGGATAAATGAGCGAAGTTTCATATAAATGAGTGTTCAGTAGCTTACACGATTTTGCCACATTGTAGTAGAGGATTCCGGTACAAAGGGGTTCATCCTCAATACACTTCGTAGCACAAGTAATGCGACTTATTCCTTCGAAGTGAGAAAAAACGACGTTAGAGTCTGATGGAAAGAAGTTATTAAAGTAAGACAATCTCTCAAGACTTGTTTCCTGAGTGCTTGCGAAACATTGTGCACAAATTGTCATTAACAGATAAAATAAAACTGTCTTTAAATAGAATCGCTGGATGCCAGTTTTCAACCTCATCTTTTACATGTATCTATACATGTAATAATTAAGTTGCAGTTTGTAATGCATTAAATTCGGCTGCATTAGAACTTTAAACTTATAAACTATTTAAGGGAACTATTAAACCGATCGATCAATACAAAATATTACAGGTAGGGAACAGAATTATCAATTCCTTTAAATAGAAATATTTGATTCAGTTATATTAGCTCTTTATGTAACCAAATTAACAAATTATGATTGTTGGAATTTTTTTTTCTTTTTTGAATATCAAGAATAAATAATGTCACGAAAATGATGAAAAGTATACGGTGTATTTTGATTATTCTCGAAATATTAATTCCTGTAGAATATTGACGAAAAGAATCCGTTTTCAATGAGCTCTAATTAATATTTAATTTGCAAATATTGAAAAACGATATCAATTCTTTATTTAGATGACTAATTTCAATGAAATGTTAGCATATTTTTTTTTCTTCATGCAATAAAACCGAAAATAGTATAAACCAAATAATGCATCCTCTACACAAACGAACTTTAAATGAAAAAACCCAAAAGTGATGTAGCTGGCGTAGTGACAGGCCTCGTTTTGTTGAATTGTTCTCAAAACAATTATTTGCTGTCACGAACAGAGCTTAATTGGATTTCTTGATTTTTTTATTTTATTTTTTTTTTCAAAGGGCTCTGGATTTCATTTTACACACTAGACAGCCCTGTCTTGAAATTAATTTATTGGCTGAAACCATCTATCTCATTATACATCTAAGCAAAAAAAAATTTTCTCAATTACTGCAGCAAAATTAATCTAAGAATCCGGGTATCTGAAAACTTATTTTGTGTTTATGCGATTTCCTTGAATTTGGCAGATCACATTCGTATGTGATTCAGCATACAATTAAAATATGAGTACAGCCATTGATTCAGACAATAATCTGCAACAGTATATGCGAAAAATGCGATTATCTTGAAAATTTACATTCGTATTTAACTACCTACAGAAAATAATAAAATCATTAAGCGTGACCTTTTGCAACCGAGTTCTTAACCCCTTCCATGGCAAAAATTTAAGGCAAAATTTTAGGCGTTACTATACAAATTGATATTAAGATTTCAATGCATTCTTTTCGGGTATTTCTTACAATGTTTGTAGATACCAATGTATATATATATTCAGAAAGCAGGTATTGTGTAGTTTCCGAAAATGATTATAAAAATATAATTTCAGTTGCCATGGCATTCGAAATACATGTACAAAATAATCTTGCTTGAATTTCCATTTATTCAAGAATGGGTTTCATTTTGATTTTCTTTGCTCAGATAAATGTATTTAACAATATTTTATTGTTGTGTTGAAAATTATGAGCATGTTGTATACATTTAAAAAAAAAAAATCCAATTTAAAGTATTTTAGAGAAATGGGGTAGGGTTGGTTGGTACATGTAATCACCAGAATTTAGCATTTTTACATGTAAGATGTTAAAGCCGCATTGATTTCGATAAAGGGAAAATTACTCGAATAGTGCACAAAGTTTAAGTCAAGCTAGCTAAATGCTGGTACAACCAATAAAAAAAAATTCTGTATATTATTTTATCGTAATTATGTTTTTTCTAACGGTGCAAGAATTATTCTGATATTTGCAGTATTACATATAACGAAGTTATGTATGTCTGAACACAATAAACTCGTTTTCAAGTCAGATGCATAGAAATGCGTATATGCGTATAAGGGGTTATTATGTTTTGCTGGATTTTCGAATCAACGTTTTGTTCTATATGAAATATTGAAATAAAAACATCAATTGGCCAATTTTTAAAAGACTTACAGGATACATGTACGTGTATGGTAAAAGCGCATTTCATTACATCATAATACATTGTCTAGGGACAAAATTGCGCCATGTTAAAGGTTAATATAGTTACTCAGAGTACTAGTTATAAGAACTGTATTGTCAACAAAAACTTAAGGTTAATGGTTATTCAGAAATTCACAGGACCAAAAAGATAACAAGGAGCCAT